GCTGAGGACACACTGCATGCACATGTGATAATTCTGTGTCAGCAAACAAAATTTAGCACACTTGTCATGGAAGGAAGGTGGGAGAGAATGTGGATCTCTTCCAAGGTAAACACGAAACCTTTATCTTAAAATGAAAATAGACCTCTAGGTGTTCATTTTATCTTCTAAATGTTTTGTGTTCAATATCTTAACAAAATATAGACTTAGGTATGAAGAACAGTCAGGATAAAATTTGAGGGTTTTTTTTGTGTGTGTGTTTTATTTAAAAAAAAAAATTTTTATTCATTTTACATACCAACCACAGATCCCCCTCTCATCCCTCCTCCCGCTCCTCCCCAGCCTTCCCCCCCCATCCCCCACCCTCTCCAAAAGAGTAAGGCCTCTCATGGGGGGGGGGGTCAGCAAAACCTGGTACATTGGTTGAGGCAGGACCAAACCCCTCTCCACCCCCACCCCCCCTGCTGCATCAAAGGTGAGCAAGGTGTCCTACCATAGGTAATGGGTTCCAGAAAGCCAGCTTATGCACCAGGGATAGAACCTGATCCCACTGCCAGAGGCCCCTCAAACAGACCAAGCTACACAACTGTCTCCCATATGCAGAGGGTGTCTAGTCTGGTCCCATGCAGGTTCCAATGTATGTGTGGTTTTTTTTTTTTTTTTTTTTTTTTTTTTGCAACAGGATCTCTGTATTCCAAGTTGGTCTTGAACTTGGTCATGGTAATTCTCCTGTTTCAGGCTCTCAGTTGCTGGGATTACAGGTATGATCTATCATACTAGTTTGGAAAGACTGTTTCTAAGGACACATTTGTTGCCCCCCCCCCAAGGCTTTTGAATACCATGTACAATGCTCTGTCTAGAGCTCCAGGAGATGGCCAAACACTCTACCCAGCCTGCTGCTGACAAGATCACATGCCACAGCAAGAAATTCTGTTTTTTGATGGGTCTCCACCGAGTGCTTAGGCCCAGGTCACCTGCGGAAGTTTAGCTTTGTGATTTGCAGGACCTTGACACTCTAGGACCAAACTGGTGGTGAGCATTAGCTTGATGTAGTGATCTGATGATACTCAGGGTAGAGGGACAGCTAACAGGCCCTGCCCACAGGCATACACAGTGGGGGCCTGCTTAGCAAACTCATAAAAGAAAGTCAAGAATAGATAGTCAGAGGGGCTTAGAAGTTGCTCCTAAAGATATTATAGTCTTCCCCACAGATGCCTGCAGCATATTAGTGATCAAGAGGCCAGATTCTCTCTAGAAAGAAAATGTACACGAATCATCCATAAGCCATCCCCACAATACAGATCAAGGATCTGGATGTCCCCATGTTCCATCTGTGGAAGGTTTAGTTCCCTGGTGGAACCTCTGGGAGGAATCTTTAACAAGTAGGACCTAATGGAGGGGGTGGGGTTTTGGGGACATGCCCTTGAAGGAGGCTGTGGGACCTAACCCCTTTCTCCTCTTTTTGCTCCCAGACTTGGGAAGAGCTGAGTGGTTTGCTCTGCCATAAGACCATGATGTGCTGCGTTGCACTAAATCCAAAGCAACCTAGCCACCCAACCATGGACCTCCAAATCTGGGACCCCAAATAAACGTCTCCTTATAAGTTGATTATCTCTTGTATTCGTTATAGTGACAGAAAGCAACACAAAGAACATTCTACTCCCCTCCTGAAATCCTCAAGCTCCTGCCTCCCACCTGTCTGTTATCAGACCAGTGGCCTGGTTTTTGTTATGGTGGATCAGTTCAGATATTCTAAACTTCCATTTATGGGCCGGCCATGTGGCACATCCTCTTGGGGGCAGTGCCACTGTCATGTGAGCATGTCACTAGTTTACAACTTCCTAATTTAGGACATGCCCCCAGCCATTGTTGTCAGTGGAGACCTGTACCTGGTGCCATGTCCGTAAGTAGTGAAGCCTGTGGACAAGAAAAGCCTGAGTAGATGGACGTGCTATTCTTCTGGGATCCTTGGGGACCTAGGCATATTGCTTGACTCCAGTCCTGCCTCTGCTTTATTTTTGATGTTCCGACTTCAAAGGTAAATCTGATTTCATGTTTGATCGATGGTGCTGGCAGTCATACTTGTCAGCTTATTTTATTGCTTTTTCCCTTTAGTCATCAATATTAGGTTAATCCATGTGGATCTCCTTTAGATCAGAATCGGCGTACAGTAGGAGTTGCACAGGGATCGATCTAATAAGTATGATTGGGATAGAGACTGCCAGCTGTCTTTGACGTTGTGAAAGTTAATCTTGACTGTCAGCCTGACAGGGCCTAGAATTGCCTTAGAGACAAATCTCTGGGCATGCCTGTGAGACATTCTCTAGATCGGGTTAATGGAGGTAGGGAGACTCACTCTGCATTTGGACTGTATCACAAGGAGAAAGGGAGCTGAACACTTAGCGTGTGTTGTTCTCTGCTTTCTGACCATAGACACATGTACCTCCCGGGCTGTCGTGAGTTTTTATCCCCTAACAAATTCCTTGCCTTTTAAACGGTCTCTGTGGATTTCCCACTCTAGGCTCTATCATCCTGCTTCTACTACCATGTCTTCCCCACCATCTTGGATAGAATTTCCTTTGGGCCACAAGCTCACAAATAATGACACAGAGACTTCTTATTAATTATGAAAGCTTGGCCTTAGCTTGTCCCACTAGCTCTTATAATTTAAATTAACCCATTTATATTAATCTACGTTCTGCCAGGTGGTGTTACCTCGTCTCTGTACTGCCTGTCCTGCTCCTTCCAAGTCTGGCTGGCTGCTCCGCCATTCTTCTTCCCTGAGATGTCTCTCTGCTCGAAGTCCTGCCTATACCTCCTGCCTAGCTGCTGGCCATTCAGCTCTTTATTACAGCAGTCACAGAAATTCAACTTCACACAGTGTACAAACATCACACAACACTTGGATGACTCCTTGAACTGTCAGTCCAAATAAACCCTTCCTTACATCGCTTAGGTCAGTGTTTCATCTAAGCAGTAAGACAAGTAACACAGGTGTGGCCACACGTGTATCTTAAAAGCCCTGCAGTTCCCCACCTCCCTGGACGGAGACTACAGCATCCATCTGAACTAGCTGGGCCCGTGAGATCTGAGGAAATACAGTGCGTGAGAATACTCTTTGCAGGCACCCTGGGGTGGCACCGTCCCCGGCTTTACTTGTTCCCTTCTGCATGCAGGAGTGATGTGTCCGAGATCAAAGCCGCAGGCACAGAAGCACGGAGGTAGCTGACCATGCTTAGTCCTGGCTACGCAGGGCAGCAACCAGCCTCAGGGCACCAGTGCGAGATTTCTGTTGCACAAGAAAATCAAGAAAATAAATCCCTAGTTTGTTTAAACTGCTTCATCTGGGGATGGGGAGCATTTTATGAACTCTAAATCAGAAGTGTTCGACAGGTTGAACTACGCTTGCACTCCTAGGAAAAGGGGCCTTTACTCGGTGCTTTGATATGAAACAGCTTTCATTTTCCAATGTGGGGGAGCGCAGAGACTGCTTCCTTTGCACCGTTTTTGTCACCGTCAGATTTTACAGCAAACCTGAGGCTTTACCCAGTTTGTCTCACAAATTCTCCACTTGTGTTTCTAATCACCAAACTGGTTTAAGTAAGATAAAACCATCACTCCACTTAAAGAATATTCCTGGCATGGCATTACAAACTTGTAATCTGGGTACTTGGCAGGGTGGGGTAGGAAGATCGCTAACCAGCCTGGGCTCATTTAAAAAAACTTATTTCCGGGCAGCAAGATGTCTCAGCAGTCAAAGTTCTTGCCACAGAGCAGTGACGAACGACGTCTGGTAGTGAAGCAACTCCCAACGTTGTCTTCTGGTCTCCACACGTGCACTATCACACACACGTCAGGCATAGAACATCAACAAAACCCTTGAAATTAATCAGTTAAAATTCTAAAACATGTGACATAAAGCTGCTTAAAAACCCTTTTATACCAGATGTAATTATGCTGATGATATTACTAAACTTGTTAGATGATGTGCCTTATTGTCATCTAATTCTGTTTATTCAAGCTTTTCTGTCTGAAAATGCATTTTCACAGTGGTTTGCTTGAATCTGGTTTCAAACTAATTAATTCATATGTTCTTTAACACTTTCAATATGTAACAAGTTCTTTTCTCTCTCCCACATGAATCTTTTGAAGAGATTGGGTGATTTGAGGCATTTTGTACATTCGCCATGCATTTTAATTCATGTTTGTCTATCTCATCTCTCCTGTGGGTGAATAGAGGCTAGTTAAGACTCAAGTTCTATTTTCCTCAGGAACACTGAGCACTTCTTGCTGTGTTGTGGACATTGCAGGTGCTTTAACTTTTTCTGTGAGTGATCAACAGTCTTAATGATTATTATCTGCATTGTTTTTAATAATGTTTTTATTAATTCCTTGAGAGTTTTATACAGTGTTTTCTGATCAGACTCACACCCTCCCAACTCCTCCCAGATCCTCTCCCCACTTCCTACCCACTCAGCTTCACATTTGTTCTCTTTCTCTCTCCTCCTTTTATAAAGTGCCGTTTGTATGGGCTGACTATGTCTGGGTATGAGGCCTGCCTGAAGTGTGGTTGATATACCAGGCATAGAAAACTAATTTCTTTCAGCAGCAGTCAAATGCCAGCAGCTCCTCAGCTATGGGTGGACTTTGTACTTAGACCCTTTTCCTGGCTGGGATTTGTCTGTCTTGAGCTTGGGCAGGTCTTGTGTGTCGGATTCTAGTGGCTGTGTGTTCCTGTGTGCATCTGCCCTGTTGTTTCTGGAAAGCAGTGTTTTCTTGACGTCATACACTACCTCAGGCTCTTACAACCTTTCTGGTTCCACTTCTGCATAGACACCTCATCCTTGGGGGAATGGCTGTGACATAAACATCCCATTTAGGGCTAGGCACTCTAAAATCTCATATTCTCTGCATATTGACCAGCTATGGGTCTTTGTGCTAATTGCTATCTACTGCAAAAAGAAGCTTTGTTAATGAGGTTAATTTGAGCAATGTGCTGGTCTAACAATATGGAACCTCGCAAGGATTTGCATGCCATCCTTGCTCAGGGCTATGCTAATCTTTTCTGTATTGTTCTAGTTTTAGTGGATGTGCTGCCAAAGCAAGCACATCTACATTATTCTTATACTATGAGATAAGAAATGGCAGTTTTCTAAATCCTTCATCCTTTTGTATTGACCATGTAGACTCTTATTGTAAAGAAAAAAAATTCTTTCAAAAATTGTGCAATGACCCAAATATCTGATGCAGCAAAGCCAAGATGAATACTTTGATTTCTCCACTAATCAGCTCTTAAAAGGATGACTTGGTGCCAGAATCCTTTAAAGGATCAGGGATTTTTTTTAAAGTATCATTATGATAAATGTGTATTTGTATTTCTTTCTGTCTTTTTTTTTTAATATAAGACAGGGTTTCTCTGTATATCTCTGGGTGGCCTCAGACTTGATCTATGGACCAGGCTTCTTCTGTCTCCCAAGTGCTGGGATTAAAGGTGTGTGCATCATCACCACTCGGCCTTTCTTTGTATTTCTGATGCATTTTATTACAGTGTGGTCATTATTCCTTTTGATGCTCAAGTTTCTACATCTTTGACTTGTAGGAGCTTCTTCATTTCTTTTTTTTTTGAAAGTCTCACTTTTGATCCTCCTGCCTCTGCCAGCGAGTGTTGAGGTTACAAGTGTGTATCACCATGCCTGGGTAGTCCACAGTTTGCTCCTGTGGCCCTTTACAGGACCCCTCCCCACATCTCCTGACAATGTTTCCATGCCTGGGTTCTGTGCAATGGCTATGGAGAAGTCCTTCAGTACGGAAAACCAAACCTAAACTCATTCCCTTGTTTAATCTTTTATTAGTGGTAAAAGTTATAGACTTCCAGAGACTTACTTCTCATCGCTCAAACTAGAGTTGCTGCTACCAATCCCACACTGGCAGAGATCACATGGGAAGTGTTGAAAGGTAGCCACAAGGGTGCATACTGATAATGTAGAGATGAGCTGTGTGCCTGGGTGCTGGAATGGCACATGGGGAGGTTAATGCTTTCAAGTAGGGACAGCAGAGATGATACTCAGATGGGGATTTCTGTTCTTCTTCAGATGTCCCACAGTGGAGACCTACAGTCCCATGTCTCTGATGATTTGCATCCTTTGAAGCATGGTTTAGGACGTAGGCTTGCTTCCCTGTAGCCAGGCTCTGCTCCATTGTCAAAGATGCAAGTCTCTCCAAAGAGCTCAGTAGTTCAATTAATTAAGGCTTTCTGGGTTCTTTATAATCCTCAGGCCAAAAGGTGAATTGTAAATGAGGCCTTCCCAAATTGCAAATGAAAACAGAAAGCCTCCCTGTAGGAACACCAGTGAATTGAACACAGTCCAAGAAGGCGGGGGCTGGCATACCTGGGCACATGCAGATCACAGGCTGATAGTTCTCAACCTGCAAAACATAACAAGAGCCTGGAGGAGAACATGTTACCAGGCAGGCCAGACTCCTGACTCGGTGTGTCAGGGGTGCAGGAGGGGCCATCCTGGCTGGGTAGTCTGCTGGTGATAGAAGGATGTTCAGGATATGGTCATTCCCAGGTATCAGTTCTTTATTGCTCATCAGGCCATCGGCAAAGAGCTTATAGAAACCGTTTCACACCATTTGTTGGGAGAGTGTGGTGAGCTAGATTGCTGGCCGTTCCTTTCAGTGAGTCTTCTTGAGCCTTCTCTTTGGGAAGCTGTGAGCATATGAACCCCTCGTGACATCAGGCATTTCAGCATCCACCCCTGGAGGGCCAGTCAGTCAGTATCCTGTTGGTTGGCTGCCCCTTGCTCTGATGAAGGTTGAGTACTTTCAGAGGAGCTAGCTTTAGGAGGATTTTTAGTGTTAAGAGACAGAGTCTCTTTGTATTTCCCAGCCTTGAACTGCTGGGCTCAAGAGATCCTCCTGCCTCAGCAGGTGTCTGGGCAGATTCTACCATTTCCTAGCTAAGGGACCTGGAAATATGGTTGAGGACTCAGGTCTGAAGGCTACATGCACCCCAGCTCAGCTGGATGTGCAAAACTGTAAACTTAAAATGGTGTAAGATTTTCTTAGAAAATTTCTTAACTTTTATAACCCGATTGGTGCTTCAGAAGGTTCCAGATGTTTCTTATTATGAATCACAGATAGACTGTTGTTTAATAGTTAAAATTTTGTGACAACACTCCCATTCCTTCCAGGGGCTGCCAGGTTTCTCAGTCAAGTGACTGAAAGAAGGCCAGCAACTGCAGACCCTATTAGAAGGCAACTGGTCCAGAGAGTCCAGGAACAGATGCAAACAGGGGCATCACCTGAGCCATGAACACCAAGGGCTGGCTGGGTCTTAGTGCTATAGCTACACAACCACCCGAGTCACATCCTGCACGACTCTGCCGCGAACCCTCACATTCCAGGGAGATGGCCCGTTTGAGTTGCTTTGGGGTGCAAGCTTTGCTCATGACCACTTGATGGACAGGAGTTCAGGGGAGAAGCCCTAAGGGAAATTCAAAGTTCAGTGGGCCATGCAATAGGGAAGGTCTCTGTAGACAATACCATCACCAACACTTTTATCTCTAAATTGTCATCACCACCCCATCATTACCACGGCCATTGCCTCCATCACCACCATCACTTCCACCATTACCACCTCTGTTGTTGTCACTATTTAACCACTGCCATGACCAGCCCCATTGCCACCACCATGTCTGTCTCCATCATCACCATAGGCTTCATCTTGGCAGCGATCACTCTCAACACCACTGCTGCTGTTACCACACCACCGTCACCACCATTACTTCTACCCTAACCATGGCAATGATATCTACCACCTTACCACCATTACTATCAACTCAGTATCGCTACCCATATCAGCACCACCATTATCAACACACCTCTACCAGCACCTGCCTCTATCTCGTCCTCCACTTTTGCTACAACCACCAACACCATTACAGTTACCGCCAACATATCAAGCATTAGAATCCCTACTAAAACCAGTCCTAACCATCATGACACCATGATATTCCCCACCAACATCACACCACCAAGGGAAACAATCCAGACCTCATGATTTTGTTTCTCATTGTCTCCTAACTAGCAAAATGCTATTAACACAGTGTACAGCATACCAAGCCCAGTTCATCAGAGGTTCAGGGTCCTGGAGCAATATTGGGAGTGTGTGTACCTTCCCTCTCTTACTCTGGAATTGCACTCTGGTGTCAGTGGCATTTGTTGTTGAAGATCAGGGGCTCTTGGGGCAGGGAAACTTCCTGTAGTGGGGGTATGAGGCAAAGTCTCCTGTGGAACAGTACCCCACGGAGTGGGGTGGCATTTACAGAAACCATAGTGATGCTAAGCTTCGGCAAGGGTCAGAATGACTGGCTGCTATTCCTATAGAGTTTTCAGTAGACTTCACAGCCTGATCCTGACTGTCCTCTCCAGGGGCTGACAGCCATATTTGCTGTTCAGCTAGCAGTGTGGGCTGTTCAAATGGTGAAGAAAGCAATTAAAAGTGGTAATCAGGCAGTTTGGACTCTTTTAATTAGTAACTCAAATTCTATCATTTTTGAACAGAAGTACTGTGTCATTTAGTAAGGACTGAAAGATTTGTCTAAGAGAACAAGATTGAGCCTATCCCCTCCTATTCCCTCCAGACACTTTTCTTCACAAACAGGGAGCATGCAGAAGCTAACGGACCTCTTTCTCTAAAAGCTTACTGTTTTAGGATTTCTATTGCTGTGAAGAGACACCATGACCATGCCAACTCTTATAAAGGGAAACATTTAATTGAGGAGGCAGCTTACAGTTCAGAGGTTCAGTCCATTATCATCATGGCGGGGAGCATGGCGTTGTGCAGACAGACATGGTGCAGGCTACATCTTGATCAGAAGGCAACAGGAAATTGTCTGTGACCCTGGGCAGTATCTTGAGCATAGGAAACCTCAAAGCCTCTCCCCACAGTGACACTCTTTTTTCAACAGGGCCAACCTATGCCCACAAAGCCACACCTCCTAATAGTGCCACTCCCTGTGAGATTATGGTGGCCATTTACATTTAAACTACCACTCTTGTGTTTGTCCTTTGTAGAGCTGTTTCAACAGCCGTTGGTGCTTGAAAACACCACCCCCTGGCCTTCTAGCTGGAGAAGGAAATCATGCCATAGGATTACCATGGTGCTGTCTGACAAGTGTGAGCCCTGGGATTCACAGCTGAGTCACATGCTGTGGGAGGGGCTCTTCTACACGAGGGCCTACAGACATCTCATTGTCCCTCTGGAGTTGGAACACAGGCCTTGCACCTGTAGGCTTGATGCCATAGCCTGAATCAGGCCCCACTCCTGGAACAGAGAGTTAAGGATTCTGTTCTGTGACTTGACAGAGCTGTTCATTGGTCCCTGGTTTCTCTCTTCTTTTTGTTATGTATGATATGGTGATGTAAATCATGTGATGTGAAGCCTCCCACTACCCCTAAAAGGTTATAAAAGTTAGGTCCTTCCTTTGTCCTGGGGTTTGGACTGAGAGTCCCCAGGGAAACGGATCATGATTTAGTTAGGAATTGAAGGCTTCTGAGGGCTCCTCTGGAGGCTCCTCTCTGTCCCATTCCCACGCGTAATGACAGTTGGTTCTCTCCAGGATTTAAAGGGTAGCTCTCCTTTCCTATAAGGCCCTGTTATGTTTGGATTCTCCATATGATGTATTGTTTCTGTCTAGTGTTCTCCCTCCCTCCTTGAAGCCCAGTCTTGGTTTTGAGTCCTTTTCTTTATTTTATTTTTAAAAAGCATTCTTGAACAGAATTTATATATCAGCTTTCTTTTGTAGACTGACCACTATGGCCTTTTTTTGCTTCTTTGTAACACAACACAATGTGTGCACGTGTGTGTGTGTGTGTGTGTGTGTGTGTGTGTGTGTGTGTGTGTGTGTGTGCTGCCCATGGAGAATAGGAGCACCGGATCCATGTGGAGCTGGAATTATAGGTGATGTGAGCCTCCATGGGAACTGAATTCCAAAAGAATAGTGTGCACTTTCAACCACTGAGCCGTCTCTTCAGCCTTGTGACTTTTTTAAAACAAAAATCAGAAGCATAGCGATCCCATTTTGAATGATTTCTAGCCCTTG